CATACACCTCCATGATTGCATGAGCCAGTTCCCATAATAAATAAGGCATGCATGCATATCACATAAAACAATATGTCTATACCTTTTATTGATTCCGTTTCTCAAATAACTGTGAGTCGTACACACAGCAAACAAATGCACACATTGGTCACAAACATCAGTGACCAGTTTGGTGTAGTCACACATTGCCCCAAACACTAGAGCATGCTCGTTTATTTAGGGGCTTTTTCTATTTGTCATGGACTCGCAGAGGTGTCTGAAAGCTCAGCACTCAGGGGGCTTGGAGGGAAACTATCTTCTTGTGGAGATAAGGTACATACCTTTCTCCTGGTAATGCTACAGACAGCTGGGTTCTTGTCCCGAATACTAACCCAAAAATGAGGACAAGGGTTTGAGAAAAAGGAAAAATAAATTTTCTTGCTTTGCTGGCCCAGGAGAAACTCCAGGGACCCTTGTCCCAGGTGCATCAGGGGAACAGAGGACTTTAAAGGTGATCCAAAGGCTACCTTCCAGGGGTGCCCCATCAGGGGTCATGATTCAGCTGTAGCCTTGAAAGATGGCTGTTTCTTAGTTCTTGTGGTGCCACTCCTCTATGATGGACACACTTCATCCTTGTGGTGTGTGTGTGTTACAGACAAGTAACTTGGCCTAGGTGTGGAAGAAGGGTAATATGGCTTCTCAAGGTTAGGAAGGGGGAGAAGGAGATAAGAAAGGAAAAAAAAACCCAGAAAGTCCACATCAGGGTCACGTTCATAGCGCAAAGTGGCCCCTGTTACAATAAATGTTCCCATTCATCACCGGAATTTCAAGGGCATTAAGAGGAAAATCATCTGTCTCTGGTCAGATGATTGCGTTGGGGACAAGAACCCAGGTCTTTGTCAGTTCTTAAGGGAGGGTGAACATGGGAAAGGACCTGCTGGCTAGGTGACTTCAAACCTGGATTTCTATGGCTGTGAATGTCATGAGAAGCTTATATATTCAAGATTTGGTGTCCCCTGCTCTGGTATTAATTGCAGGGAGGGTCTCAGTTATGCCATTGAGAATTGGAAGTGACTGGCAGGAGCTTTCTGCACACTCTTCTCAGACATGGTGGACATGTCTTGAAAAGAGCTGAGTTCTTCCTGTCTGGCCCTGGGCCAGCAGCTCTGGAGGAATGACCACTGTGGAGCTGGGTTCAGGCTGCCTGGCTCTGGGACGGGTGCTGTCCAGAGCACCTCTCTACCCTGAACCCTGGAAGTGCAGCTGCCCTGTCTCTCCAGCTGCTAGTCCCAGTTCTCTGCCCCGCCCCACTCCTTGTCTCTGGCCTGATGTGCAGCCTGAGGCCACAGGGCTGTCCCTGGGTCAGATTGTTCCTACTTCCTCCCTGCAGGCAGCATCCTGTAGCTGGTGTCCAAGGAGGGCCACTCAGGCCTCCTTCCTGCTTGCCAGCATTTCTAGGACCCTGTTCCAGTTGTGGCTTTTGATCCAGGGTTTCTCAAGCTAGGCACAACTGCCAGTGTGGACCACATAATTCTTTGTCGTGGGCTCTGTGCTGTGCTGTGCATTGCAGGGTGTTAACTACACATCTGACCTTGAGAGGCTATGAGGGCTTCTTAGTTGGGACAATTGAAGAAATCTTTGAGCCTCCATGAATTCCGTGGGGGGGGATAGTCACCTCTTGTTACAGAGCAGTGATGTGGTGGATGGAGAATGCATTTTTAATAAAGAATTAAATAGATTTTTTAAAAAATTCAGTATTCCACTTTTGCAGGCAAGAGGAGCCTTTTTTTTTTTTTTAATTGTACTGTGAATTGAGGCCAGAGGTGCTTCTGTACTGAGCCAAATCTTTCACTTTTTTTTTTTTTTTTTTTTAGGATACAGGCTTTAGGCTCTTGCTAAGTTGGCTTGAACTTTGGTCCTTCTGAAGGAGTCTCCTGAGTCACTGGGATTAAAGGCATGTGCCACCATTTCTGGCTAACATGAGCCTTTTTTGACATAACTTTTATTTCAATTAGTATGTGTGTCATGGATCCCCTGGTGAATTTTTAAAAAATTTTTATTTTGATGTAGTCTCAGACTTGAGAAAATTTGCAAAAGAACACAAAGAACTCTGTGTCCCCCAGCTGTTCACTGTGTCCCCTCTCCCTCCTCCCCACCTTCTTCTTTCTGTGTGACCCTCCCTGGCATGCTGGGAGGGGCACAGGGTGCTCTTGACCACAACATCATGTTCTTTCTCTAAGATGCCAGTGCCTGATAGTGGACCCAGACCACTGAGGGACAGGGCTTTGCAACCACCCCAGGGCAGGTCTCTCATGCCATACAAGGGTGGAGTTTGTGACAATTCATGGATCACGTTTCCTTTTAGGAAGATTGTGCATTCATATTGGAGTTCCTAGATATTATGTGCTTTTGCCTGGTTATTTTTCTTTCTTATGCACCATCATTTCATTGAGATCATTTTACTTTTAGCCCATACTTGGTTATGTTTGTGTTGGTTTTACTTATTTGTAATATTCACGAGTAGATGAGAAAGCATGCTTCACCAATTTTAGGAGTCATTTGTATTAATTTTTAAATCTTTTCTTAGCCCTGATATTACTAACTAGACATTTTCTTTTTGTTTTTGTTAGAAGAATGCTCTATCAATGATTCTGATCGTTTTGAATGTCAACTATTGATTTTCTAAGCATATTGACGAAGTTTTCAATATTTTTCTCTTTGGTATTGTTTCTTGTTTTTGACAGTTTTTATGTTAAATCATGTTTTAATTCCTTCTTCTTAATATCTGAGTGTGTTTAAGCTAATTATTGTTATCTTAGAAATGGAAATTCTCCTCAATTCTAATTTGGCAGCATCTTAAGAATGGTGATATTTATTTATATTTCTGGGATAAGAAAATACGATGTATTTTCTGTATTATGTAAGTTTACATAGACATTAGAAAAAAGTCTTAAAAATTCTGTCATTAATAATGTCATAATTAATTTGTTTATAAGTTTATATTTTTAATACCAGGGATTGAGCCCGAAAGCCCTCAACCACTGAGACATATCCCTAGCCCTTTTTATTTTTTTAAATTTGAGAAGGGGTTTTGCTAAGTTGCTAGGGATTTGGTAAGTTGCTAGGGATTCGCCAAGTTGCTGAGGCTAGTCTTAAACTTGTGATACTTCTGCCTCAGCCTCCTAAGCTACTTGGATTAGAGGCATGCACAAACATGCCCAGCCTCATCCCATGGACTTTGATTATCCCACGGTGTTCCTCTAATCAATTAGAACTGTTCTACACTGTACAGTCAGAGCACGTGGACATATAAGGGACCAGGCAACATTGGGGTGAATTTCTGTAAGGTCATATCCACTAACAATCCTTGCTTCTGATGACTTTCCAGAGTCCCTAATCCCCACTGCTCCCTAGTGCCATTCAGAGACCCATGCCACCTCTTGGGATGATCTTCCTGGCCCCTGGGGCCCACTTTGGGGAGCCTGCTGGCCTCCTTCTCCTCCTTCTGCAGAGCTGTCCTGCTCTGAAGGGCCCCAGTGCTCTGACTCCACCTTCTCAGCTCCTCAGAATCCTGTCCTCCGCAGCCTGGCCTCCTTCTCCTGCACTTGACCTCTCTCCCTCTCCACTATGCTCAGTGTTTAAAAATGCTAGAATGTGTTTTATATTTCCAAAATCGGCCCCCTGCAGTTCCCTCCTGCTTTTCAGTCCTTAAGAGCTAAACTGCAGTCGACTTTACGGATGGCCTTAGTGCTGCGGCGTCTCTGTGTTGGCATCTCCACGAGCGCATTTTCAAAAAGGAGGGTCCCAATGGGTGAACGCTAATGCACAGTGTCTATCCCACGTCTTTCGGAATTATGGTTCTAATCAATGTTAGCATTTAAAAGTTATTTTCTCAGGGATTTTTGTAGAATTTTATCTCAAGATAAGTGATAGGTCAAGATGTAGAACACTGAGAAAGTAAAAATCTTTAAAGTGTCATGAGATACAGCAGATCCCAATGCCAGTCACTGTGTGTGTGTGTGCGCGCGCGCGCGCCTACATGCGTGCACATACAGGCACAGGCACATGTAGGCACAGGCATATGCCCGTGTCCACTTGCACTTGGTGGGATGGTCCTACTCTGGGGCCTGCCACTGCATCCTGAGTCTGAACACAGTCTGATGATTGAGAGGGGAGAACTAAACCTGCCTGAATGTGAAGGCAGCACTTGCAACAGGTTTTGCTCTCTGCCAGCCCAGTAAGGTAGGCTCAGAGCTCCCCTCTTCACAGAGACCTGCGGAGCACGTGACATCCAGACGACCTCTGTCTGAGCTTCTCCACTCCTAATGCATACCTTGTCTTGGTCAGGGAAGCCTTTCCTGACATGCTGGGGTCACTCCCTGCCATCCCAGCAAAGTGTTAGCTAATTTACAAATTTTATTTCCGGCAGAACGACAATCTTGCCCTTGAACACGCAATCCCATTTCATTTGTAGCTGCACTCTCCTGTTTTCATCCTCTTGTTGTGTCTTATGAAATCCTTTACACAGGGCAAAACTGACCACAGAGCAATTTGTCCCACTTTTCTTCATTTAGAAACAGTCTCTTGCCTTCAAGGAAGAAAAGTTGGGAGGAAGAAGAGTGTTCTTGTATAGGACCTTGTCCTGGTGAGAGTTGCTCCACAGGTCCCAGATCCCAGAGTTACATCAAAGGCCATTTGAGACACCTCTTATACCAAGAGCACACATGAGTCAGGAGCCAGGGACAGAGCCAGAATATAGGGACCTGGACACCTGAGGTCTGGCCCTGGCCTACCTGTGTCCTGTGTGGAGTCCTCCAGGGTCTCCTATGGACCCCTCCTGTTTCCATTAGGAAGCAGGAGAGCTGTCTGCTCCTTGGAGAACGTGACCTTCCACCCGGCTCTCACCACAGCACTTGTGACCACTGCACTTGTGACTATTGTGAGTGCACCGTGAGTGTACTGACTGGTCTGTCTCCAAGCACACTGCCACTCCCTGTGCACCCAGCAGAGGGGGTAGAAGGGAGCCGCTGGTGGGGATGGGCAGCAGGCCAGCAGAACACTGCTTTTGATTTCTGCACGTCCAGACCGGTCCCCGGACCTTTATAGCTGGGGTGGTGTTAGATCCTAGTTGTCCCTCCGCTGGGCCACAGTTTACTCTCAGGGGTCTGTGATTGGAGGATTCAGGAGGTGGGGTAGGGCCGGACCAACAGAAACACTGATCATAACAAGTCCCCACTTTTCTGCTCGCCAGAGGCTCTCAGAACTGAAGGCCATCCTGCTCAGTACACAGCACCATGCCTATGATACTGGGTTATTGGGACGTCCGTGGGGTAAGCAAAGGTCCTTTGGCAGGTGGGATGGGGATGAGGGACTAGGCTGTGCAGATCAGCTTGGGGTGGTGGGTTCTAGAACATGAATCCTTTTTAGGATTTTCTGGAGTCCCCGGCCTGTCCCTGACAGGAGGCCTGTGCCAGACTCTGTGTGTGTGTGTGTGTGTGTGTGTGTGTGTGTGTGTGTGTGCATGTGTGTGTGTGTGTCTCCCCACTGGCATGAGTGCTGGTGATAGGTGGAGGGTGGTAGGGAGAGGGCTCACCTGCAGTTAATGAGTTCTTCTGTCTCTAACCTCTGCCATGGCCCTGTCTCCCAGCTTACTAACCCCATCCGCCTGCTCCTGGAATACACAGACACAAGCTATGAGGAGAAGAGATACACCATGGGGGACGGTAATGGCACCCTCCTGTTCAGACCCCTGCCCAGCTCCTCCTGCTGATTGGTGCAATGAGACCATGCCTGGCCACTTTGTGCTCAGGCCTACAGCCCTCCACCTAGGGCCTGATGCTTCCTGAATTTGAGGATACATCTTGGTCTGAAAAGGCATGATGTTGGCAGCAGAGTCCCAGATCCCTCTCCAAGAGCAACTGGGTTGGATTCCCCTTAAGACTTGCCTGAACCTTTCCTAAGCCTTAGTCGTTTAGGATCCAACAGTAATTATGAGCATTGTCCTCTCTATACCCACCCAAATCTAGGAATGTGAGGCTGAGTGACTCAGATTTCACATTCACCTTCTCAGGGTTCTTATCCCTGATCCCTTGGGAGGATGCTGGGGAAGGGGGGTTGGACTCAGGGGAGGTTTGCTTTCACATCATCTTCTCCACAGCTCCCGACTACGACAGAAGCCAGTGGCTGGATGAGAAATTCAAGCTGGGCCTGGACTTTCCCAATGTAGGTTCGGAGGACGGGGTGGTTGGGGAAAGTGAAGCCATCTTTGTCTCATCTCCTTGGTCCAGGGTAGAGTTTCTAGGGCCAGAGCTTCTCCTCAACTGACCTCATTGCTGTGTGTGTTACTCTTTGCCCCAACATCACCTCTGATGGATGGGTGTCTACACTGTCTTTGAGTGATGGTCTGTGTCCCAGATCATGCACTTATTCCACAGTGTGTTTGTGTAGTGATTACCATGGGCCAGACACACTAATGCCAGGTCTCACATGTGCCCTAAATCAGGGAAGGGGGACTGGGATTAGGTGGCTCACCTGACCATCCCTGGTTGTCCATCCAGCTGCCCTACTTGATCGACGGGCCTCACAGGATCACCCAGAGCAACGCCATCCTGCGCTACATTGCCCGCAAGCACAACCTGTGTGAGTGGGGCTGGCTGCAGGGTGTGGGGGAGGTGGCTGTGTCCCTGACTTGGCTGGGTGGGAGGCTGAAGGTGTGTCCCTCTTGTGTGGGCCATAGGTGGGGAGACAGAAGAGGAGATGATTCGTGTGGACATTTTGGAGAACCAGGCTATGGACACTCGTGTACAACTTGCCGTGATCTGCTACAGCCCTGACTTTGTGAGTCACAGTTCTGGAGCAGACAGGATTTAGGGGATTTAAACCTGTGCTTTCACATCTCTATTGGTCCAGTTCAACATTTGGATTCCTTAGTGGTACTCCTTCTCCAAGCTTTCTTATCTTGCCAACAGACTGACTCTCATAACCTATGAAATCTTGTCATAGAAACACTGGTGGATCAATTCTTACCCCTCTTGGGGTACAGTCCAGACTCCAATAGGACATCCAGTTTCTATACAGTAGAGTGAGGCATTCAGATTCTCTCCACCTTGACCTCTGCTGTGGCCACTGTCTCCCACAGCTTCACACTACCTCCCTGCTCCTGGAATACAGAGATTGAAAACTCAAGAAATAATAGACGGGGGAATGTAATGCACTCTTCTCTTCAGACATGTTTCCCCCGTGTGTTGTCCTTGACACCAGCAGGTGTCAGAACCTTTCCCAATAAGCAGCTCAGAGTCATCCATCGAACTTTCCTTGCAACATCATACACTCCTTAACGTTATGCATGTTACTCAGATATGCATTTCATCCTTTAACCTCCTGTTGGGTAGAACTTTGTTATATCTTCAGAGCTCTTTTAATACTTTGCTTCTTCAAGTCCATAGCCTGCCATATACTCCTGAGTCTGACTCACGGGATATGTACTAGACCCACGAGTGGTGACAGTTTCAGGGACCATGTTGTGTTCCTGTCTGACTTTATATCACTCTGAGAGATAGGAATGCTACCAGATAGAAGTCTAAGCAGTGGTGTTGCAGGGAATGAAAACCTCACCCTGACACAGGCTCAGGTGCATGGCAGGTGCTCAGCCCTGGCAGGTGGGGCCATGCACACCACTGCTGATGCCAGCCCCTCAGGCAGGGAGCTCCTGTCTGAGGCTGGTGACAGCTGATTTCTGTTTCAGGAGAAAAAGAAGCCTGAGTTCTTGGAGACCCTGCCTGAGAAGATGAAGCTCTACTCACAGTTCCTGGGGAAGCGGCCCTGGTTTGCAGGGGACAAGGTAAAAGGGGAGGAGTCTGGAGGTGTCACTCTTTCCAGGGTAGAGATTTTCATGCCCACTCATCCTGAGCTTTCTGCAGATCACCTACGTGGATTTCATCACTTATGATGTCCTGGACCAGCACCTTCTATTTGAACCCAAGTGCCTGGAGGCATTCCCAAACCTGAAGGACTTCATGTCCCGTTTTGAGGTGATGCTCTGTTCTTCCTCACCCTTCAATGCCTCTTTTCCTTCCTGTTTTCCACGAGACTTTCCATATCTCAGAGGTTACAAAAGGAACAACTAGCACGTTTGAGGCCTGGATTTTTTCCAGGACCTGTGCTCAAAAGTTACGTCTACCTTGACTAATTTATTGACACAGCAACCTGCGAGGCTTTAGATAGAATTACCAGGCACATTGGACAGAGATGGAAACTGGGACTGTAGAGGGGAAGTCTTTTGCTCAAGGTCCCAGTTCCAGTGGAGGCTGTGCTGGGCTCTGTCAGCCTTGGCTCCTAAGGCCCTGGTGGGTGGCTGTCCTGCCTTCTGTCAGAAGGAGCAACCTCAGGCCCTCATGCAGCCTGGGTTTCACAGCCCAGGATGCTGTGCAGGGGGAGAGTGAGGCAGGGTGTGTGCAGCTGGAGGTGGGAGGCTGAGGTGAGGCTGGGGGACTGGCAGAGCAAGGCCCAGACAGTGTTGAGAGCTGCTCTGCAGCAGGCTTGGCTCCATCAGATGCCACCTGGGGAAGCACCAGTGCTGGGTGAGTACATGTGGGGGACTTTGGGGATTTTGTCCTCAGTTGTTCCATGTGGGTATTCTATGCCCTCCTTTTCATCATTTCTTCCTTTTCATTATCTCGCATGTTCTATTTTAAATGGTGCCATCCTCTCACTTTACCTCTTATTCTCTGGGCATTCTCCTTTGTATCTAATGCTATGTCTGGAGAGTAGGACTGTAAAGATGACCCCATGCTGGGACCAAGTCCTGCAGGGAATGTCAAGCACCAGACTAGGAGATGCCCCTGGTGCTAGCTGGGTGCTAGGGAATGTGGTCTGGACCCCATTCCACAGCTAATTAGGGTCACCCTGAGTCTACTTGTTTGTCATCCACAAAGCCTATTTTTTTTTTTTTTTTTAGATTTTAAAGATTTGAGAATTTGAGGCATTAGTTCAACTGGTTTTTCATCCTGGGATCTGTGTTCCTCTCTCCTCCCACTTCATCTGAGAATGTACTTTGCTTCCCAGCTGTTTCTCATTAGCTCTGGCTCTGTTCCTGGGAGTGGCCTTGGAGCTTGTGTAAGAGCTGGCACAACTGTGGGGTCAAACGGTGGTGGTGGTGGGGGGGAAGCAGAGGGCTACAGCCTGAGGCTTGCTGGGCCTGGCTTGTGTGCAGGCAGCCCTGACACTAGGAATCCTTCAGATGTGATCTGGGTATTTTTCCTGGTAAGGTAGGTGCACAGCACACCTGAGTATCATTCAACCTGTTTTGCTGTGGCAGGAGATGGGGTAGTTTGGGGCACAGTGAAAACAGGCTCAGGTATTAGCTGGAGAAGTTTGAGCTTTTCTGATCCAGGTGGTGAATGGTTACAGCTGGCTAGTCCTTTCTTCGTGGGTGTAGGCTAAAATAACCAAAAAAGTCTCTGCACCGTGATGAAAAGTACAAATAACCGGGACAGGACCAGAATTCATGGTTCAGCTATGCCTTTTCTTTAGCAGCCGAGTTAGGCACTAGATGGCTCACTATCTGGGTAGAAAATGGCTCTGAAGACAGGGGAGGTATGGTTTATATAGGTTACATTGGGGGATGTCTTAGTCCTTGCAGACTTTAACCACAGGTGGGCAAAATATCGCAAACACCTGGAACTTGCTCCTTTTGGGCACAGTTTTTAATTAAGCAGTGTTTTTAGAGGGCAGGATGGAAGGTTCCAGGCTCAGAGTCCAGTGCTCACCTGACCTCCAGGGGTCATTGTATTGCCACCGGGAAGATCAATGTGAAGTTTCACTGACATGTCACTGAGAAACGATTTATTTATCAGAAGGATCCAAGGTTCAGCTTCCCTCTCCCACCCTCCTCCTCCGGAGTCACACACTGTCTTGGGGGGCGGTTATCAATGGATCCTCTAGCGTTCTTCGTCCTGGATTTGCTGAGTCACTGGGTGACGTCTGGGCTCTGCCATGCTGCACAGGCTTGTTCTCAGTCCCTTTGTTCTGCTAGATCCTTCCTCCTTATCATTACCCAAATGCCAGGAGGCTCAAAGGTGAAAAAAGGAGAATGTTTGTTCGGATAGGGAGTGCCAGGGCCTCAGTGGGGGGGTTGTGGGGGAGGGAGGAGTGCAGCCAGAGCCCAAAGCCAGGCTGGGTTCAGCCCAACCCCACCCAGTAGCCCTGGGAGAATGAGGAAGTTGCTTTCCCTGTTTGCACCTCAGATCCTTGGTGGATTTTCGGTATCCACATTACAAACTCAAGTGCCTGTTCCTAGACTGGGACTGCTGGAACCCAAAGAGGCAGCAGATCTCCAATCCTGCCTTTTCTTTCCCACTCCCAGGGACTGAAGAAGATATCTACCTACATGAAGTCCAGCCAATTCCTTCGCACTCCTCTGTATTTAAAAGTGGCCCGGTGGAGCAATAAGTAGGACCCTGTCATTTGAAGAGGTGGAATCCACCAGTGCATCTGCTGGCCCTGATATTCCTGGCACCCCTAGCTTCGATCTTCTTCCTTTTCCCTTCCAGCTCCCTTTTCCTCTGCAAGCCCTAGTCAGATCCCTTTCTTCTGCCCAACTTCTCCCCCAGTAAATCCATTGTAAGCTACAGTTCCCCCTTTTCTTTAGGAAAGCCCCTCTTCCCCTTCCTCATCCCTGCCCTGAATCCAACCAGACAGTCCTCAGCTCTGCTTGGAGGAGCATGACTGACCCTGTGCACCCCTGTACTGCCCCAGACTCCAGTACTACCTGGTGAGCTGGCTCTGGTCCCCAGCATGGCAGCTGCCCAGCCCTGTCTGACCCCAATAAAGCCTGGACCACACTTGCTCTGTGTCTGTGTCATTGCCTCTTACCCTCGGGGCTCACTGTGTGGCTGTGGTCTGTTGTCCACAGCAGGAACTGGGTGCATGGGGGTGTGGGGTGGGTGCTCTGTGTGGTCAGACAGGGTATGAGGTCACTTAAGGTTGTCACTGTCCCCTGTCCGTGTCCCTGTGGTCCTTACCATGGGATTCCTATAGAAGGGTGCTCCTTCCATGCCAGGGTTCCTCATCCATGTGGTAGAGTGTAAGGGTCCATAGGCCATGTGCAGCTGGGTGTCATGGTTCAGAGAGGTGCTGGGCTGATGGGAAGGGGCTAAGGAGCCCACAGGTGACCACATTCTGACCCTTCTCCTGGAAGCGTTCCTGGTCTGGACAGCCCTCCTCTGTGTTCCCAGGACGTTCTCCATGAACACACCCCACTGTGTTGTAGTGGGTGTTGTGGCTGTTGTCACCCCACTCAGTCACAAGCTCATTGAGGAGAGGGCGCAGGGGCTTGTTGGACTTTTTAATCTCTGATATGTCTGGCAGTGTCTGGTAGATGGTCAATGCTCAGGAAATTTGGAAATTGGAAAGGATTATCTCTGAGGAAGCCTTGGCCTGCCTGCGTAGCCAGTACTGGGAATTACAGCTCTGCAGGTATTATAGTATGAGCCAGTAGCTCTCTCCCATTTCAGCATTGAAGACGTTCTAGCTGTCCTTGGAACAATGTGACCTGAGATGCACAGGCCTAGTTTCCTGGGTTGTGAAGCAGCAAGCATGTGGTCAGACCATACATAATTACTAGGTAGAGCAGCATCCCACGGAACTTTAGTAACTCAGGTGACTGCAGCAGATAGAAAACCAAGAGCCAATTCAAACATGGGCAAAGGACTCGAATAGATGTTTCTCCAGAGAAGACACACAAATGCCAATAAATACGTGAAATATTGTTCAACTTTGCGAATCATTGGAGAAATGTAAGTCAAAACTACAATGATCGTCTCCCTTACACACATTAGGATGGCGACGACAGCCATAAGTTTGGTAATTTTGCAGAGTGATTGGAAAACTTTTTCCCTTTTGGAGGGAAAGTAAAATGGTATAGCTACTGTAGAAATCAATACGATGGTACCTCAAAAAAAAATAAATAAACATAAAAAATAGAAGCACTCTGTAATGTACCAATTCCGTTTCTGGGTATATACTCGAAAGAAGTCAAAGCAACTTTTCAAATACATATTTCCAAATATGTATTAGTATACCCATATCTATAGTGGCATTATTTATAACAGTAAAATATGGATGCAAACCATGAGTCCACCTACCAATGAATGGATAAACAAAATATGATCTTTAAATACAAAGGGATATTATTCAGTATTGAAAGAAAATTTGACACATGATAAAATATGGATAAACCTTGAGTGCATTATGCTAATTGAAATGAAGCAGTCACAAACATTCCAAACCTTCAGGATTCCACTTCTTTGAGGGAGGCAGGATAGTCACAGTGTGGGATATGGAAAGTAAAATGGTGGTTTCCAGGGGCTAGGGAGAGAAGGGAATGGGGAGCTATTGTTTAGTGGGTAAAACTTCCATTTTCACAAGATGAAAAGAGTTTGGGAGATGGGTGGTGGTGATGGGTGCACAATGTTAGGAATGCACATAATAATTACTGAACCGTTCAAATGGGCAAAATGCTAAATTTACACTATGACTTATAAATACAATGAATGAATAATGAGACAAAGCAGACAACAACACGTGGCTGTTCTTTCCTGATCCCTGATCTAGAAGCTCAAATTAAAAGAACAAGATAAGCCAGGTGTGGTGGTGCTCATCTCTAATCCCAAGTACTCAGAAGGCTGAGGCAGGAGGATTGAAAGTTTAAGGCCAGCTTCAATAACTTAGTGAGACCCTCCTCTTAAAATAAATTTTTTAGAAAGGTTTGGGGGTGTAGATCAGTGGTAGAGTATCCCTGGGTTCAATCTCCAGTATCAGGAAAAACAAACAAAAACAAAAAGTATATTAATCTGCTTATTAGATTTGAAATTTTATTTTACATTTTAAGTCACTTGCTCAAGGTCCCAGGGCCAGTGGAGGCTGTGCTGGGCTCCCTGTTAGCCCCTGGCTTCTAAGGGCCCCTCCCTGATTTCTGTTTAAAGGAAAAGCCATACCTGATCTGGACCAGGCTTGGCTCAATCAGGTGCTCCACTGGGGACGCACCGAGACCCTGGGCCGTGAATGGGGCTGAAGGTGAATTATGTGGGCCCCTGAGGGAGGATTTTTTTTATACAGGGGTGTTCTACAGCGGGACAACCTTCACTGTTCCTCCTTTCCTCCTTCCCCTCAATACCTTCAGCTTTATATCTGTGACATGGGGTCATACACGTATTTTCACTCACATTCACTGATCTTCTCTGTATAAGGTTAGCTGTCAGGCTCAGTGGGACATGCAAAGATGCCCCTATCCTAGGACTGAGTGCAGCAGGAAATAGCAGACACCTAACTACAAGGTGCCTGTGGTACACCTGGGTGCTGGGGATCACAGCCTGCAAGCTCACTCATTGTCAATCACAAGTCACCCCAAATCTACTTGTTTTGCTTTAAATATATATATATATTTAGTTGTCAATGAACCTTTATTTTATTTATTTATATGTGGTGCTGAGAATCCAACCCAGTGCCTCACACGTGCTAGGCAAGCCCTCTACCACTGAGCTACATAACCCCAGCCCAAAGTCCAATTTTTTTGTCACAAACAAACTTTTAGTAGAGATATGAGGATCTGAGGGGACAGTGATTCAGCCTGGGATCTGTTTTCCTTTCCCACTCCCTGTCTGAGGATCTGCTTTCTCAGCAAGTTCTCCTCAGCTCTGGATGTGTTCCAGGCTGAGTGGCCTTGGGGATTGTGCAAGGGCTGGCAGGACTGTGGGGGTGAGGCAGGGAGGTTGGGTAGAGGAGAGGGGAGGGCTGCAGCCTGAGGCCTCTGACCCCTCTGAAATGATCTAGGCACTCACTTTCCTGGGGGGTGGGTAGAAGACACAGGATACAACAGAAGTCCTAGGGCCTGGTCTGTAGCAGGGCTGGAGATGAGGTTAGGTTGGGGTACAGTGACACTGCTTTCACTCAGTCTGAATTTTCTGTTCTGCTTCAGGGGAATGATTAAAGGTGGCTTGGCCTTTCAAGTTTGCTCACTGCCCCTGTCCAATTTCACCCAGGATTTGCTGAGTCACTGGGTGAGACCTGGGCTCGCTTGTAAGTTGCACAGCTATTTTCTGAGCCCCTTCATCCTGCTAGAGCCATCTTCTTGTTTTAAGCCAGACATACCAGAAGCCTCCCCATGAAAAAGGAGAAGGTTTGTGCAGACAGAGAGGGACAGGGCTCCCTAACGGAGAGGACCAGGGGAAAGTGCGGCAGAGAACTCAGAACTGGAGAGACAGAGCCAGGTTCCATCCAGCCCGTCCAACTCACTGTGAGCTGTGTGGGAAGGGAAAGTGAGGACCGAGGGACAGGTAAGCGAGAAATGAAAGACGGGGCCCAGGCAGAGATACACACGAGAGACAAATGAAGGCCATCTCTCTGTAGGAGAGAGAGGCAACACAGGCCTGAGTTCTGGGACTTATGGGGGAGGCTCAGGAACCAGAGCCCGGAGGGTCCTCATGGGCAGTGAAGGGTCGGGTTGGTATGGGGGAGTGGTGAGCCTTTCTCAGAAACGCCCACGGGCCAGAAAGCAAAACTTTTTCCTTAAAATGGCGGCTGTCACTTAAGATGGCCGTCCAGATGCTAAGCAAGGACCTTCGAGTGTGGGCATGAGGAAGTTCCTTAACCTCTCTGCCCGTCGGCTTCCCTGTTGATAAATGCTGAATATAGAACTTAATCTTGCAGGATTGCTGAGTGGATTTTCTAAACCTACACTGTAATTTCTAGTGGGTGTAAAACGCCTTGCATAGGGTCCATTCACGGGAAATTGAAGGGTGTCCTTTCCAGACCCCAGAAACTGTGGTGACTGTGTGCTGCTCAGCACTGGAGCTCTCCTGCCAGGGCTGCTCCTGCACTGGGGCTGCTCCAGCCCAGTGGGGCAGCAGCCCTGAGCTCCTGCTTCCTCTCGCCACTCACAGGGCCTGAAGAAGACATGAAGTCCAGCCGCTTCCTCCCAACACCTGTGTTCACAGAGATGGGCACAGGTAGGGCCTCGGGGAGGGCAGGAGCAGGGTGTGAGGAGCCTGTCTCCTTCCTGCCACCCAGGTCCTGAGGAGCAGCCAGACCCCCGCACCTTCTCGTTCCTTCCCCTTCTTTTCATTCCCTTCTCACCCCCGAGGCCTAAGAGCCCCCTTTTCTCCCACCAACCCCAGTCCCATTCAGGACTTTAAACCTTGGCTCCTCATTTTCCCCATCCTAACCTTTCAGTGTCCTGAATTAGACCAACCCAAAGTCCAGCAGCTGTGCCAGCTTTGACTGTCCCCTCCCTCTGGAGCTAGGCCCTGTGCTGCCCAGTGTTACCCACTATTGCTGGCTGCTCACCCTGGTCCCCAGGAAGGACCCTGCAGTAGCCCTGGCCTGCTGCCCATCAAACCTGAACCCCACGTGTTCTTCACTTGTCCTGTTGCCTCTGGCTCCCTGCACTCACAGCCTTTCACTGCTACTTCCAAGGGACTGACTCTGACCCGGGCACTGGTTCATGGGGATTCTGGTGGGGGTCAGAAGGAATTTTGAGACTTCCTGGTCCCATTTTTGACAGTGGCCCAGGAGACTGACTGTCTAGAAAATGGAGGAGTCCTTTCTGTCAGGAATCTCCCTTCCTCCTGAGCATCCCAGAGCCTTCCCAAGGGGAAGCAGGCCTGTGTGTGTGAGTGAGCAAGGACCAGGGTAGTGGAGTCCCCAGCTGGGACAGCCAGGACGCTTCCTGCCTTCCTGTTTGGCGGTGCCCCATCTGTATCCAGATGGACAGTTGTATGCCAACAGCTATACACAGAGGCATGGCCAAAGTTGTGAGCCACTATAAGTTCTCACCCCTCAACCTAACAAAAGGCCAGAGCTTAATCATTTTGGTGGATTTTGGTCCCTAGTTAATCTCTCAGGATCCTGGCTCTACTTACTTTTCTAGATGACTTCAAGGTGTCCTCTCATGGCTTCCCACACAACTGGAAAGGAGACCTTCTTTCTTGGTCAATCCTTCACCTCCTTGGGCCCTGGTGAAAACTGTAAATGTCTTATCCTGGTACCGGTGTCGTTAATTTTCTCTGAATGAGTATAGACCAGTAGGGTGGACCTTGAGTCTTTGGATGGACTTACTGACTCCTTCTGTAATAAGCACATCTGATGAGAAGGGCAACGACTCACTGGACTCTCTGTGTAGATGGTCTGCTTTGATCCTTCACTCCGTCTCCTTCATCCTGAGGTCCCTAAATCTCTAAGCGATGGCACATGCTTGTAATCCCAGAACTAGGGAGGCTGAGGCAGGAGGATTGCAAGTTCAAAGCCAGCTTTTTTCAGCAATTTAGTGGGGTCCTGGGTAACTTAACAAGACCCTGTTTCAAAATCAAAATAAAAAAAATGGCTCAGTGTTTAATGCTCCTAGGTTTAACCCCCAGTATCATGGGGATGTATAGGCTGACATTATACTACTTTACCCTCTTTCCCAAACA